TCTTTATTATGAAGAACACAACGCTTCGGAGTATATCTTACTCCTTCATCAGGTGAAAGGGGATGACTAGACTTATGTTTAAGGGTGCCACCGGTGGGGCAGGATACGCTCACCTTTTCGCGAACACCTGGTATCATCACTACTTCATAATGATTCATGAACACATGCTCTGTCATCGTATCGCACGGTAACAATCACTGGATTGTCTGGTCCAGACTAGACTTGTTCACAAACAACATCATACAATTGTACAATTGCTGAAAAAAACATCTGCTCGTGATATAGTCACAACTATTTCTTAGGAATGTGGAAAGGGGTTTGTCGCTTCTATTTATATGGAGCCCTTGCTCGTGCTAAACAAATAACCAATCTGAAAAATGCAACACAAGGGTTGCTGATAATCGACATTTGGCCATGCCCTGCCGTGAAATATGTCTGTATGATGTCGTGCGTGGCACTGTTTAGCATAATTCCACCTTGATATTTTCAATTACATCCGAGAACGATATACACGTAAAGAACACAGGTGATAATGGCTCAAAGATCCCCAAATGTTCGTTCGTATATTGGTACTCCAAACAGTGTGTGGCTTTGTTTCAAGAATAAGACTTTCTATCAAAATAGAGAAATTGAATAAGAAAGAGAAACGGTCATCGGACGGTATGTTTGTCATTCAGCAATATCTAACATATGTTGTATAAATTGCTCTCCTACCAGCGGTCACGGTTTTTGAGAATAATTCGTAAATCAACTGATAAGAAGAAAGGACGTGTGATGAATGTAATCTGAATGCATAACTGCATCAATTATTGAAATGAAACTTGATAGTATACGCTAACACGATGCATTATTTCTATCAACTTTAGGCGTCACTCTTAACTTGAAAAAATGACCATTCTTCTTTTGACCTGGATTCCAAAGCTCTACATCAAACCTAATATAAGGACTTCATTCTTTGAACAACGGGAGACATACAGCATATATATCGTTCTGTTTCTATCTTCAAGGGTTCGGGACAACTTGTCATAATGACCAACTGTATGAGAAGAGCTTGACGTCCTCAGGAATAACATCAGTGACAAGCCTAAGTAACACGCAACGTTGTGGGAAGGTTGCAGATTGGTAACGTCATGACACAACGTTGTCACAACGTTAGTATTACGTCATTTTATAACGTTGTGTCACAACGTAATAACAACGTTGCATATTTACGTTGAGGAAACGTCATACTATGGGCTCCTCCAACTTTTATTAAAAAACGTTTCTTATAACTTGTCACGATAGAGTATTCTGTACATCTTTTCACTTTGAGACTCTTTCTTTACTGTTCAGCTAGAGCTTCAGAAAACACACGACCAAAACAACAGGAAAATTGACGAATAAACATCGAAGTGGATTTCTGCTTTGTTTCTTATGTACTGTTGACTACTGGGAAAACTGTACAACCCTTAACTTTAAATAGAACGTTAAGACAACGTAAAATGCGTTAGCATCAAATAACTCTACCTTGTGGCGACGTGAAAATGACGAATGACAACGTAAGGCCACAACATTGTGACAACGTAAATGAGAGTCCACGGAATAACGTTGTAAGGGACCGTTCATAATTTATAGCTGGTGTATGTGTGTGTGTGTGTGTGTGTGTGTGTGTGTGTGTGTGCGTGCGTGCGTGCGTGCGCGTGTGTGTCTGTGTGGGGTTGATGATGATTTTGATAGAGAAGCATGTACAATGTGAATGACTCCCCCTAAAATTTATGTACAAAATAAGTGCCCCCCTGCATGTCATGTACAAAATCAATGACACCCCTCCCCTTCCCATATTTTCTAAGCATAATTTTTAACATAATTTTATGTACAAAATGGCTGCCCCCCCTCCCCAGTACGTGTGTAAAGAATTCTATTTTTTGTTCCCCCTCATTTCTTAATAAGTGTACTACCCCGTCGCAGAAATATCTTAGCTGTGCGTGCGACGTTAAATAAAGCAAATAACTAACAAACTGGTTATGGCCCGGGGAAGCGAAATCTGGACCAAACCTCCTCATTTCACTTCCAATATGCACAACCAAGTTGAATAGGTTTCATCGCAGAAAGGAGTATGAAAGCAATATTAATAAAATTGTTAATGAAAAAAAAAGATGAGAATGAAAGCAATAATGAAAGTGTGTAAATGAAAACAAATTATCATGCAAATACATCTGGGAAACATGATATTGTGTTGGTGTTTTTTATATTTATTTGGGTGGCATTTTTTGTCCTAGGTGACATTTGTCCGGGTGGCATTTATCCGGGTGGCTTTTGTCCGGGTGGCATTTGTCCAGGTGGCTTTTGTCCGGGTGGTATACTACACGAGAATGTACGCTGTATCTTCTCATAAACACCATATACTTCAGGGGTATACTACACGAGAATGTACGCTGTATCTTCTCATAAACACCATATACTTCAGGGGTATACTACACGAGAATGTACGCTGTATCTTCTCATAAACACCATATACTTCAGGGATATACTACACGAGAATGTACGCTGTATCTTCTCATAAACACCATATATTTCAGGGGTATACTACACGAGAATGTACGCTGTATCTTCTCATAAACACCATATATTTCAGGGGTGTACTACACGAGAATGTACGCTGTATCTTCTCATAAACACCATATACTTCAGGGTGTACTACACGAGAATGCACGCTGTATCTTCTCATAAACACCATATACTTCAGGGGTATACTACACTACACTATAATATACTACTACTCAATATTTCATAAACGACATATACTTCAGTCCCACTGTTGTTTTATGGCCGGAAAATAGTTTTTTTTCATTTACAAAATCCCGATATCGGTACTGCACATAATGCATAGAACCATTATTCATGTTCCATTTACTGTCTGAAGCCCATTACGCGATACAATCTCAACGTCTCACGTGTCTAAGTGCGTTTGGACATTTTCTATGCATCATTAACAAATGCCTTTGGTGTGTTTGCATTGTGTCTGGTGTTATGGCTATCACGTGCAGATAATGTATAGCATCCTGGGACTGAAATGTTTCGTGTAAGGAGTTCGAGTTTCAAGTTAGGGATTTTGACAAATGTCACAGATTAAATGTATATCAAGTAACATGAATCGACATTCATGAGTAATTACAATACATCATAAACAAATAGAAGGTTTTCCGTCTTGAAATGTCACTTCCAAGCTGCTCGAACCTATTCACTGCGCATGCACAGCTGTTGAAACCACTTTTCACCCCAGCTGGGGTGAATTTAGTGAATCTCCGATTTCGTGGTTTTTTTCATCGCGTTATTTTTCAACTATATAAGTTGAATTTGCATTTTTGATAATTTGCTGCTGTAAGTCCATACCGAAAGGTATCAGAATCTGTAAAGTTGTGTTTTACGTTGCATGTGACCTTTAATGATGAATTGTGTAGTTGAATGTGAACAACCATTTTTATTTCGCAAAAAATCTCGACTTAAAGCGAAACAGTGAGTTTATACTGGCCGGTAGGTGCCGTTGTCAGAGACACAGCAAGGGCAAATAGTTAATTATAAGAAAAATCTTGGACAGTCTGTCAGAAATAAAAGTGGAGTTTTCAGGACACATCATTGCCGTCACTAATGCGTCAAATTTGCGAATGTCCTTCACATCAAACTTTTTAAAGCCTTACTAAGCCATGGATGTTGTAACCTTGTTCAAGCAAGCTTTGAACAAGAGTCGCATGGCGCTTTTCAAAATCAATTTCGTAGTAAGATCGTGCTCGATTGTATCTCCAAGGTATATGTGCAGACACCAGAGACTGGAAGTTCCCACACGTTCAATGTTGAGTATTGGGAAGATGATTCAGAATTAAAACGACAAAACCGTCTGTATATTGATAGGAAATCCCCGCTAAAAGCAGAGTCGTTTGTACAATCATGGCTCTATCATGAGCCTGTGTCTCCGAATCACTCTATGATTTCTGTTATACTGCATTGTGGTATTGTTATAGTCACCCTGAACCCTAATGCTAAGATCTAAATATTAAACAAGGCGATTCCACTGGCCTCGATTTCTAGAACAGGTTCAGTAGAAGAAAATTGATTTGATACATATACTTGGTTGTTTGAATCAGAATGTCTGCTTGGATTGGCAACATCAAAACAAGAGAATTTGATCTAAGTTTCATGTATGTCGACGATCCGACATATTCAAAACTGGCGAAACACGTAGACAATTCCTTCAACTGATCTACCCACCTGAAATCAACGGATTTGTGAAGTAGAATCCCGACGCAACGCCTCTTGTTAGAAATGTCACCTCGGCAGATAGAAAAGTGAAGTGACATAACAGTCTCAGCCTAACGATCTGGATCGTTCTCGCTCTGCTGCTGATAATCTTGGCATTTTGATGTGCGCCTTTAACAGGTTAACAATTAATTAACTCAGTCGACTGTGTTTTATAGTGTTGGCGAAAAAAAAGCATGTGTGATGACAATACTGTAAAGGATATGTGTGTTAGTTTGACTGCAAGGACATGTCAGTAACTTGTAAGTTACAATCAAAACACTTTTCGGTGTATCGGGTTAGATGAATATGGACATTCACAAACGTATATGACGTGTCAGTGATGTGTTCTTCCGGAACAGCCCTCATTTCACAGAGGACGTGGTGGAACCATCAGCTTTCACACACAAAGAGAAGCACCGCTGATCATATGTCCTGGCGTACAGACTACTTACCATGTTGACAGGTAATGAATTAGAAACACTAGATGTCCTGGTCAATTCCTCACGGCTCTATCCTGGGTGTTTGTAATCCCACCTAGCTGTCAGAATACAATGCTTCACAATGTCACAATATGATGCTACATCCGTCATAGCGGGCACTGCTATTTCCAGACAATACCGCTGCTGACAATTCCAGATTTTATATATAATATTTTTAAGTAGCAAAATGACTCTTCAGATTCCTGTTAGTGGGGATATAGATAACCAAATAATGATATAAAACAGTTATAATAAATTCTTTTAATATTTATAAATGAAACACAATTCTATAAAACACAAATCAGTACACAAAATGTATAACAATAAATAATGATGGATACTCGACATGTTCAATTCCTCTTATCTCGGTTGTGTGAGAGCATCTCGACGAAAACGGTGTAATATCATTATTTGTATATACCTCGTCAACTCGAACACCTGGAAGCATCAAACATCCCTTCACCTGGTTCAAGGAAAGCGAAGCGCTGATATCAAATCGTTATGGTAACAGGGATCGTGTCGGAATCAAGACGTTTCACCAGCGATAAATCAATCAAGAAGAGTTCGAGTTATCGAGATGCCACTGGTTATGAGAATATTTTACGTGGTAAGGGGATTGTGTGCGAAATTTGAAAACAGACACAGCAATGAACAAATTATAGCATTAAAGCTTCGGAGTTTCACACCACTTTGAAAGGTATTTCAGTTTGTATCACGGCGTTTCAGCTAATAACCGATTGGCTATGGCTGTAACGACACCCGTTGTGTTGTATCACAATGGGCCGTGATCCGATACCACAGTCGACACTTGTGTCATATCACGTTCATCAAAGCAATGGAACTGGCGTAGAACAGCAACTGGTTTCCGAACACTGTCAGAGTATCGCAGTGAATGTACTCACATTGATACATGTCCCCATACATTTCTTACAAGAAGTTTAAGATCACCCTGTGTTTAGGGGCGTTTTTAGTTATCTTGTGATATCGCTATATATCGCAGTGCCAGTTAATGATGGTAATCGTTACAGCCTGAATGATAATTCCTGCCATGTCACGGTGTGATGTGGGAAGAAAGCCCGAGGTGATGCAGATCTTTTATTTTTACCTCTTCAGTGAAACCCACGTGAACGGTATTTACCAACCAAGAAACAAACCCGGATTCGAACCCCGATCATAATTTTGTGGCACGCTCAAGGGAACGCAACTCTGCACAGCTAAAAAGGTGTGTCACAGACACCACTGAGCCACACTGATCGTGATATTAGAACCAAGACTATCGGTGTGAAGCAGCAAGGGGGCATAACTCTTCACGGCGAGTTGCGTTGCCTTGGGCGACCTGCTGACGTATTTCCACTGATTGTGACGGAAACATTAAACATATATCGTGATATGTTAGAAATGCCATTTAATGGTCAATGTGTCAATAAATGTCGCCAACAAAATGTATTCATATATCTAAAACAATAAAGACTACCTAAAATGCTTTTTTCTTTATTTTACATTTTGATCTTTTCCGTTTTAATTTCTCCATTCTGAGGTCTTGTTTTAATGAAAACTTCCTGACGTAACTGTCGGGGGAGATTGACAATCGGATCTCCCGCTGACCGTGTTTTTCCATCATCCCCATCAGGATGTACTCTCTCCCTATGCGCAGGCGCGGACACTTGCAGATGTTGTACACCCAGATGTACTCTCTGTGGAGGAGAGGGACGATGTTCCTGTAGGTGTACATGATGCTGATGTCGTAACGGGTAGCGTTCCCGAACACTTCAAGACCGTTCACTCGTGCTTTGGACACTGAAACAACAATCAAGAAGTCATTGCATTTCAGTCGAATCATTCGGTGATACTGGGTGAAAAATGACATCCACAGATAACTGCTTGAATGTCTAAATGCTGTTTTACGCCGCACTAAGGTATATGAGGACAACCATTAAATAATTGTTTCGGGATCAGGTAAACCGTTGCTTGATGTAAAAATAAAGTAAGCGGCTTTAACGGCTAACAGTATGTTAGTCTGTCTTCTTTCACAATAAAAATAGTTATGCTTTCAGGAACATTTCTTTATATTGTAAAATCGAGAAACATACAGTAATGGTTCAGATAGCTGCCATATTTCATTCTCACATACAAACATTGAAGATGAGGTAGTTTCTGTGGAACTCTTTAAAACTGAAAACTTGAGGGTTACAACTTCAAATCAATGCCGTTTTTCGACAGCGGGCAGCTTCAAATTAAGACTGCAGGCGCAGTTGAGTCTGGATCAGGCGACTCGGGATTTTACAAGAAAGACTACGGAACACTACGAATATTCAAATTCCAACACTTTCGTCACACTTTGAACACGGTTTACCCACGAAACCGGCAGCTTTAAGTGTTTAGAGAAAGTGTAGGCAGACATGTCTTCATCAGTGCACATAATTCAGTGTATCGTACTCATCAACTACACCTCACTGTAGAACGTCCTCATCAACTACACCTCACAGTACAACGTCCTCATCAACTACACCTCACAGTACAACGTCCTCATCAACTATAATCACTGTACAACATCCTCATCAACTATAATCACTGTACAACGTTGTCATCAATTATAATCACTGTACAACGTCCTCATCAACTACACCTTACAGTACAACGTCCTCATCAACTCTTCCTCACTGAACGACGTCCGTATCAACTACATCTCACTGTACAATCCGTATCAACTACACCTCACTGTACAATCCGTATCAACTACACCTCACTGTACAATCCGTATCAACTTCACCTCACTGTACAATCCGTATCAACTACACCTCACTGTACAATCCGTATCAACTACACCTCACTGTACAATCCGTATCAACTACACCTCACTGTACAATCCGTATCAACTACACCTCACTGTACAACGTCCGTATCAACTACACCTCACGTACAATCCGTATCAACTACACCTCACTGTACAACGTAATCACTGTCACGTCCTCATCATGTACAATATAATCACTGTACAACGTCCGTCATCAACTACAATCACTGTACAACGTCCGTATCAACTATACCTCACTGTACAACGTCGTCATCAACTACACCTCACTGTACAACGTCCGTATCAACTACACCTCACTGTACAATCCGTATCAACTACACCTCACTGTACAATCCGTATCAACTACACCTCACTGTACAATCCGTATCAACTACACCTCACTGTACAATCCGTATCAACTACACCTCACTGTACAATCCGTATCAACTACACCTCACTGTACAATCCGTATCAACTACACCTCACTGTACAACGTACCTCACTGTACAATCCGTATCAACTACACCTCACTGTACAATCCGTATCAACTACACCTCACTGTACAATCCGTATCAACTACACCTCACTGTACAATCCGTATCAACTACACCTCACTGTACAACGTCCTGATCAACTGCACCCCACTGTTGATCATCCACAAAGCCAGGAAAACACCGTTTAAACAGATGACATTTTTCGTATCATGTTTTCTTTTGTAAATTCATATTCCTTATATCACTAGTGGTGTGCTGTAACATCGCATCAGCGACAGTGTCAAACAAATCCATATTCGTCGACATGGTAAACAAAGCAAACACAAGTGACAAATACATGCGGAAATCGTTTTTTAACATTGTACCTCGTTTACTGAAATGTAAATGATATTGAATAAGTGCCATTTTGTTTAATCGATGTACCCGGCGACTCTTTGATGTATATCAACGTATTTCTATTTTCGTTTACTGGAAGGGGATCCATTAACAATCCTAGTTTAAAAATATGTTGTTACTTATTTGAACCTACAAGAACGTTCTAGCGTTCTTTGTGAGGGAGAGTCATTTTTACTACGCTGGCGCTATTCAACAAAGAGACTCGAGAGTGTAAATTATCAATTGTTTGATGCTGGTCATTATTTTTATGAAGAGGCATTTGTGAATGAAACACTTGTACTAACTCATTTGTGCTAATATCATACTAAAGTCAATTCTTACTTACAAACTGCACATAATTCATCATTGAAAAAACATTTGGAAAGTATGATATCTCTTCCTGTCAAACACTGGCACGTAGGATATAATGACTTGAAACCTATAATGAATTGTTTGCATCAACTGTTTTCTTTGTTCTCACTGACTGACGAAGCGAATATGTGGCCTCGAAAACATTGTACTGGGCGCCAGTATCGAACACAAAAGCCTTCCTATTATTTTCTGCAGAACAAAATGGTTTAAAACAACACTTAGCGGTAGTGTAGATTTTACGAGTGCTTCGGTTGATATTGCAATCAAAGCGAAAACGCGTCCCTAAACACCCTCACTTAGGGACCGTTCATAATTTATGGCTAGAGGGGGTGGTGGGTGGTGTGTGTGTTGCGTGTGATGATGATTTAAGGGGGTCACCCATTTTATTCTGGGGAGTTAGGGGGTCAGCAATTTGTACATATGTTTCTAGGGGTGTCAGCAATTTTGTACATAACAATTATGCTTTAGAAATATGGAAAGGGGGAAGGGGTCATTGATTTTGTACATGTCATGCAGGGGTCACTTACTTTGTACATAAATTTTAGGGGGCATTCACATTGTACATGCTTCTCCATAAAAACCATCACCACCACCACCCCCCACCCCACCCCTAGCCATAAATTATGAACGGTCCCTTACAACACAATCTTGATCACCAGGTAAGTGAATGTTTTCACAGATCATAGGCAATTTGATTCACATAAAATCAGTCACTCCGTCAGCTCCAAAGCTACTACCACACTTACCGAAATCACTAGCACAGAACTGTTTTCTCCGATTCTTCATTCTTTTGCAGGCTGGACATTGACCTATGTTGGGGAAAGAATAAATAACAAGTTACAGTGGTCTGGCACTACCATGTACCAGGGAAGACTAAGTGATCAGCAACCGCCTGATTGTATAATGTGGGTGATAACAGGCCCGACGATCCCTTCACTGCTGTAAATACACATTCACATTGTACATGCTTCTTCGTGAAAATCATCATCACCCCCCTAGCCATAAATTCTGAACGTTCCCTAGTTTCATTAATAGCTCGCACCCCCGTGAATCAAAGTACAGAAATTCTTTTGTAACTACCAAGAAGGTTATTGCCAGTAGAATTAGTACGTCCCACCACGTGGGATTCGCCGCGACAGCTAATCAATATTTGGTGATGTTTTGTTGGAACGTAACTGACGTCATTTAGCGGCGTTGTTACGTAGCACGGGATAGACCACCATGATGATTCAACATTAGACCGGACGGACAGACAGACAGACAGACAGACAGACACACACACACACACACACGCACGCACGCACGCACGCACGCACGCACGCACGCACGCACGCACACACACACACTGTGAATAGGGCGGTGGGGTAGCCTAGTGGTTAAAGCGACGTCACACCGAAGACCCGGGTTCGATTCCCCACATGGGCACAAGCCCATATCTGCTATTCCCCGCCATAATATTGCTGGAATATTGCTAAAAGCGGTGTAAAACTAAACTCACTCACTCACAATGTGAGTGTAATTGTCTTGAAGGTTAACCTTCACCTCAGGGATTGTCTCCAGACAACACTCACTTTTGCTTAGAAACTTTCTCTTCTTCTTCTTACTCTTCTTCTTCAACTTCTTCCTTCTCAGCCGATCCTGCTTCACCTTGTCTTTGGTAGCGTTCTTCCGTTTATACAACGTCTTAGATTTACCACGTGTTCCCTTAAGTCTGTCGCTGTGCTGTTGTGTCGTGACCCTGCCGCCGTTGGTGATGTCGTATTGCTTCGTCACCTTCCCGTCGTAGTCGATCTCCGACATGACAATATCCCAGATCTGATTATCTGACAACGTGGTCTTCCTCGTGGGATTTGGCGGGACGGTGAAGCGCGTCGTCGTTGTTTCCACGTGGGTCACCGCGTCCACGGGGATGGCGTTGTCGAATCTCATGTACGTCATGTTAAGGAGTTCCAGAGATGGTATCCCAGGCACCCAGAACTCGTAGTTTACCCCTCGGTTCTTCTCTCTGTACATTAGCTGGAGGAAAATATTTACACAGGTGATGAACGTTGGTACCATGTATTTGAGCTTATAGGTATCGAATATATGCATGCTTTAATGAGGGTAATCGGGTGGCACCGTCGTCTAAGGCTATGTAGAGTTGCGTCCCTTGAGCGTTCCAGAAACCTATAATCAAGGTTCGAATCCTAGATTCGCCATATTCGCACGCTATTCTTGAAGACATAATGCATTAGAGACTAGTTTACGAAAAAAGTCAGGAAATAGTTTCGATGGTAAGAGACATTCAATACAGGTTCAAACATATCAGGTATAAATTATCAAGCTTTTTCTTTTTTAAAACCTGAAAACGTACTACACAAGCATAAATACTACAATACCAACTTCGAAATCTAGGTGATATGGTTGTCTCCGAAAACGAGTTCAACTTGCTGTGCAGAGTTGCGCCCCTTATCACCCCCATCAACTGGTTTTCCAGTTATACCTTGATTTTACAGGAGTGAGTGAGTCTAGTTTTACGCCGCACTCAGCCATATTCCAGCTATATGGCGGCTGTCTGTAGATAATCGAGTCTGGACCAGACAATCCAGTAACAACAGCATGAGCATCGATCTACGCAATTGGGATACGATGACATGTTTCAACCAAGTCAGCGAGCCTGATCATCCGATCCCATTAGTCGCCTCTTACGACAAGCATGGGTTACTGAAGATCAATTCTAACCCGGGTCTGATTCTACAGGACCTTACTGTACTCTTTGGTCTCATCAAAGTACACGTATTAAATGTCAAGCACCCTCTGGAATCATTTTGAGATTCTAAAACACAAACTAATTATTGGACATAAATATATTCACCATAACATGTAAATCCTCGGATGTGGGTCCGTCGCCTTGCAGAGCCTCGTAGCCGCTGTTGACCCGGTCGTAGGTTACCACTGTGCCACCAATAGAGTAGATGCCGGGGTTCGCGATGGTGTACTGGCCGTTCAGGACGAAGTCCTTGTTGGCATTCATAAGCGCTGCAATACATGAGAAGAACAATAGCAGTGATCTGGTCACATACATAGACACACGATCAATGGAACCATGTTGACATTTAAAGTCAGTTCAGCCAACTCATCCCTATGGTATGCAGCCAGTTTCTCTGAACCCTATCAAAGACGTTAGTTCCTTAGCGGCGTTCACATGCGTGTGTCTGTCACACTGGGGCAACGAATAGTCCACAGCAAATGGAAAGTCAAGGGCCCTCATCCACAGTGACGATTTTCATCTAGTCGTCAAAGGCGCCGCAGTTAACTGTGAAACTGTACTGTGTTTGTTACCACCAAACTAAACACACTCTTTGTAACACAACAGTTACATCTGCTGTTCATGAAATGGATTGGCCCATCATACAGCAGGATATTACAGATGAGTTGCCAAGTCAGGTCAAGGAAATAAGATGCTGTCAACATGTTCAAGAATGGTATTAAAATGCAGGTTGAAGGGCATGGGTTGTCCTGTTGTCTTAAGCGCAGCAGTGATCGTGGGTTCGTCTTGATTCTGAACGAAGTCGGGAGGTTCACATATATGGGACTTTAAACAATGTGCACACCAAGTGTACATAATGGCAGACATATTGTTTAAAGCGACAGCAAACCGTACTTATTTTTAACAGGGGAACACTGTAGAGTGCACTATTGGACATTTTGTTCCAGAAACCAGCACAGTGAGGAAATACGTGCTATGGGTGGAAAGCATTTATGACACATCTGTTACATGCTGTAAGTTGTAAGGTGTGGTCCACCGTACACATACAACAGGACACAGGGGCTGCTGTAGATGGCAACAGGTCCACCGTACACATACAACACGACACAAGGGCTACTGTAGATGGCAACTGGTCCACCGTACACATACAACAGGACACAAGGGCTACTGTAGATGGCAACTGGTCCACCGTACACATACAACAGGACACAAGGGCTACTGTAGATGGCAACTGGTTAGATGGCAACTGGTCCACCGTACACATACAACAGGACACAAGGGCTACTGTAGATGGCAACAGGTCCACCGTACACATACAACAGGACACAAGGGCTACTGTAGATGGCAACAGGTCCACCGTACACATACAACAGGACACAAGGGCTGCTGTAGATGGACTGTCCACCGTACAACAGGACACAAGGGCTACTGGAGATCCACCGTACACATACAACAGGACACAAGGGCTGCTGTAGATGACAACTGGTCCACCGTACACATACAACAGGACACAAGGGCTACTGTAGATGGCAACTGGTCCACCGTACACATACAACAGGACACAGGGGCTACTGTAGATGGCAACTGGTCCACCGTACACATACAACAGGACACAAGGGCTGCTGTAGATGGCAACTGGTCCACCGTACACATACAACAGGACACAGGGGCTGCTGTAGATGGCAACTGGTCCACCGTACACATACAACAGGACACAAGGGCTACTGTAGATGGCAACAGGTCCACCGTACACATACAACAGGACACAAGGGCTGCTGTAGATGACAACTGGTCCACCGTACAGGACATACTGTAGATGGCAACTGGTCCACCGTACACAACAGGACACAAGGGCTGCTGGAGATCGCAACAGGTCCACCGTACACATACAACAGGACACAGGGGCTGCTGGAGATGGCAACAGGTCCACCGTACACATACAACAGGACACAGGGGCTGCTGGAGATGGCAACTGGTCCACCGTACACATTACAACAGGACACAAGGGCTACTGTAGATGACAACTGGTCCACCGTACACATACAACAGGACACAAGAGCTACGCTACCTAGGTGGTTCCGACTGGACTCTTTCACGCTGAAGTGGGTCGATCCCCTCGGGATGGTGACAACCTCGTTATAACCCCGGTGCTCTGCAACAAAGAACCCGTATACAGTGGGTTGTCTTCATCAATATTGAAACAGTGCCCCTCCCATTTGGTGAAGGAACCTGTCACGTGGGATATCATGTTTATTTGGACTACACCTAGGACACCATGCTTTTCGCGAACTGCACCTAGGATATAATATTTCTCGCGAACTGCACCTTGGATAGCATGTTTTTCCCCAACTGCACCTTGGATATCATATTTCTCGCGAAGTGCACCTTGGATATCATGTTTCTCGCGAACTGCACCTTGGATATCATGTTTCTCCCCATCTGCACCTTGGATATCATGTTTCTCGCGAACTGCACCTTGGATATCATGTTTCTCCCCATCTTCACCTAGGATATAATATTTCTCGCGAACTGCACCTTGGATATCATGTTTCTCGCGAAGTGCACCTTGGATATCATGTTTCTCCCCATCTGCACCTTGGATATCATGTTTCTCGCGAACTGCACCTTGGATATCATGTTTCTCCCCATCTGCACCTTGGATATCATATTTCTCGCGAACTGCACCTTGGATAGCATGTTTTTCCCCAACTGCACCTTGGATATCATATTTCTCGCGAAGTGCACCTTGTATATCATGTTTATCCCCATCTGCACCTTGGATATCATGTTTCTCGCGAACTGCACCTTGGATATCATGTTTTTCCCCATCTGCACCTTGGATATCATGTTTTTCCCCAACTGCACCTTGGATATCATATTTCTCGCGAACTGCACCTTGGATATCATGTTCCTCCCCATCTGCACCTTGGATATCATGTTTCTCCCCATCTGCACCTTGGATATCATATTTCTCGCGAACTGCACCTTGGATATCATGTTTTTCCCCATCTGCACCTTGGATATCATGTTTTTCCCCAACTGCACCTTGGATATCATATTTCTCGCGAAGTGCACCTTGGATATCATGTTTCTCCCCATCTGCACCTAGGATATCATGTTTCTCGCGAACTGCGCCTAGGATATCATATTTCTCGCCAACTGCACCTAGAATATCATGTTTCTCGCCAACTGCACCTTGGATATAATATTTCTCGCGAACTGCACCTTGAATATCATGTTTCTCGCGAACTGCGCCTAGGGTATCATATTTCTCGCCAACTGCACCTAGAATATCATGTTTCTCGCGAAACTGCACCTAGTATATAATATTTCTCGCGAATTGCACCTTGGATATCATGTTTCTCGCGAACTGCGCCTAGGATATCATATTTCTCGCGAACTGCATCTAGAATATCATGTTTCTTCCCAACTGCACTTTGGATATCATTTTTCTCGCGAAGTGCACCTAGGATATAATATTTCTCGCGAACTGCACCTTGGATATCATGTTTCTCGCGAACTGCATCCAGGATATCATGTTTCTCCCCAACTGCACCTACAATATCATGTTTTTCGCGAACTACACCTAGAATACCAAGTGTATCTGGTGTATTTCCCTTGGGTGTCGTGTTTCTCGCCAGTCTACCCCTCGGGTGTCACGTTTCTCACCAGTCTACCCCTAAAGTGTGGTGTTTCTCAAGTGTCCGTCTCTGGGGTGCCGTGTTTCTCACGTGTCCGTCTCTGGGGTGTCGTGTTTCTCGCCAGTCTACCCCTCTGGAGTCGTGTTTCTCGCCAGTCTAACCCTAGGGTGTCAGTCTATGATGGCATGCAATAGTGTATACCATAGGCATTCGTATGTGTATATTGAAGTACATATAACGGCCGTAACCCTCCATCAATGATATGCTCTGATATGTGTATCATCCTTTTTATCGATATTTTCCTATTTAACATCATGGGTCGGTGGTCGAAATAGGATGATACAATGAATTCCTGATATGTATAGGATGCATTTTCGAAGCTGTGGTATCAGCAAAGACCGGCATGACCTGGATTTCCAGAGATTAAGTTTCTTTTTCCATATGATGTTTCGGTACTGATGGTAGTATCACACAAGTGCTAATCCATAAGTCAACCCTATCGTCGTGAAAGTATGACTAATGGGACATGAAAATATGTGTCAAACTTAACAGATATTCAGCTAATGAAAACAGATTGAGATGTTTGTCAAGCTCTACTTAAGGTCCGTCGATTAATCAGGGCATCGCTCGGGTCGGGTCTCGTACACTACGACACCAATTTCAAATTGCCATGAACAATATCCACCTTATCTCCACGACCAACTTGTTTCCACTGTTACCAAGACGAAACCATAACTTTCCCTCGTGATTTAACTGATTTTCAGGATTTACAGGACCGGCTGACCTGACCTTTAGCCCCTCCGTCTAGAGGTTATCTCGCCAAATACATTTACACACCGATAACCGTATAGCTGGAACACTGTAGTATGTCAGTGGACTTTCCTAGTTCCATTTCACAAAGCACGCCATTGTTTGTTGGAATAACTGACATAAAACGATACCACACTACATTAATATGTATAGGAGATCCGTCTTTGATGAATGTATACAACCAGTTATTTTTTCTCTTTAGACTGAAGTCTTGTGGGAAAAAGATTAATCGTGTTCTGTTTGAAGAATAAACAAAACAGTTAAAGAATGTTGTACATCTGATACGACGATGGAATCTTGGTGTCCATTAAATATCTTTTTGAAGACTCCTTGATATAATAATGCAAACCATTTTAAACCTTTACAGAGAATGTAATTGTGACTCCAGACGATAACACATTTGGTATGTGGCATGACGGTTATTAGACCGAAATATCATCCTACACATCTTAGATTCTGTGGAGAATATTCAAATTAAAAGTGACAAAAAAAGATAATCACAAGAAAAAAACACTGTAAATTCCGACCATGTCATAAGCCCGTGTTCAAATAGTGAAGATACCAGGCGCTCGCGGAAAATGTCGGCGGATCCTGTTCCACAAGTGAATACCATCACAAACACATGCAAAGAAAGGTAAATATAGTTATAATATATTAAGAGTCTTTTTAGAATCTTAATTTTAAAACAACTGTATTAGAGTTGATTGATGTATCTGAATATCTTACTTCCCCTCCCTGAAGGCAGCTCAGTCCTGTATGAAGACTTGATGAAGGAGCACGTGTCATTCTTTCCGTTGCACACACCACACATGTCCATCCGGGTTCCGCCGCCCACGTGATCGTCGCAGCCAATCAACTGACATACATAGAAAATGATGTAACATAACTATACAGGGTATCCTCAGGGTACAGCACTGGTCGATTTTTGTTAACATTGGATCTGTGTTCTACGTTTCGTTTAATTTAAATGCATTTTTTTAATGTTGTGTGAAAATATGGAATATAGAATATTGTGTGGATAATGTATATCATGTTTCTCGACATTTAATGAAGTCAGGTATGTGGTACTTCACAAACACCTGGAAAATATTGCTTAAAATTGATGCTGAAATTCATAAATAAATCGAATCTTTGTACGGGACTATTTGGACGACTATTTCCCGTAGATTATCTGAAACCATGTGAATTGACAGCGTACACGTCCATTTAACGAACTACATAATCAGCAGCATTTGTACACTTGACATAAGATAGCCCAGTAAACTATTTCAACATTTGATAAATAATTAAAAAATTTGAATCACTTCAGTTTGTTTTCCTTTGATTGCATTCCCAGAGTAAGCGAAAACGGTTCTACTGAGAGCGAAATATGAACGAATAGATGTGGAGAAAGCTGTTTTGTGAAAGACAGGGTTCACAATCAGCCAATCAAACGCCAAGAATAACTGACAAGCGATGTGTGCTAACTGTGAGAATATCGGAAATATGTGCAGCGATATGTTTCATCCCCGGGGAATATGGTAGTGTACCTTGCACTGGCCGTGGACACACACGTGATTGTTGCTGTTGAGGCACATGGTCCCGTCCTGAACAGTGCCGAAAGTGTAATAGTACGAGCGACCCACTGCTTTACAGCTGAGCTCGCATGGTTTACCTGCAACAGGAGGGGTAGTGACACTACTCATTGACGGACGCCTTGCTTCACCGGCATGTCTGAAATAACTGAGGAAATACAAAGGATCTCCATCACCACTGCACTGCTGTTCCCGGCGGATTGTCATGGCTCTTGTATGTTAGGTGATACAGGATTCTGATTGGTCAAACTGAGGTATCAAATTACATTAACATAACTACACAGTTGGGATTCCGGACACTGATCTCAAGAGGAAGTGTTATGGGTTGTCGGGTTAGGTTCCTGGTCATGATACGCCGACTGACTGAATTTGGTTTTACGCCGCTTTTAGCAATATTCCAGCAACATCACGGCGGGGGACACCAGAAATGGGCTTCACAAATTGTACCCATGTGGGGAATCGAACCCGGGTCTTCGGCGTGACGAGCCAACGCTTTAACCACTGGGCTACACCACCGCCCCCATGATACGCCGAAGCTTATAATATCAATCATCGGTTTATCTGGACTCGACTATATTCAACGTCACATAGCTTGACGTTAATATTAATCCCGAGCTCGGTCTTATAAAACACAAACACTAACATAGCCCTGTATGACGACTCATTTACCAGCGAGTTATCGTGTTTGTGTGATTGTATATTTGTTTGTTTGTTGTTGCACACAGCAATACTCCAACTAAATGAAGGCGATCTGCATTATGAGCATCAATCTACGCCATTGGGATACTCGAGGATTGTGTTGACAATACATGTAATACTCCTTCCTCTGGAAAGTCCAATAGCCTGACTCTTTAACGACAACATGGCCGACAAACGTCTCACAGTGTGCGACTTTAACGACAACATGGCATACACAAGTCTCACAGTGTGCGACTTTAACGACAACATGGCATACACAAGTCTCACAGTGTGCGACTTTAACGACAACATGGCCGACAAACGTCTCACAGTGTGCGACTTTAACGACAACATGGCATACACAAGTCTCACAGTGTGCGACTTTAACGACAACATGGCATACACAAGTCTCACAGTGTGCGACTTTAACGACAACCTGGCATACACAAGTCTCACAGTGTGCGACTTTAACGATGGCATAAGTCTCACAGTGTGCGACTTTAACGACAACATGGCATACACAAGTCTCACAGTGTGCGACTTTAACGACAACATGGCATACACAAGTCTCACAGTGTGCGACTTTAACGACAACCTGGCATACACAAGTCTCACAGTGTGCGACTTTAACGACAACATGGCATACACAAGTCTCACAGTGTGCGACTTTAACGACAACATGGCATACACAAGTCTCACAGTGTGCGACTTTAACGACAACATGGCATACACAAGTCTCACAGTGTGCGACTTTAACGACAACCTGGCATACACAAGTCTCACAGTGTGCGACTTTAACGACAACATGGCATACACAAGTCTCACAGTGTGCGACTTTAACGACAACACAGTGTGGCATACACAAGTCTCACAGTGTGCGACTTTTGGCGATAACGACAAACATACACAAGTGTGTGCGACTTTAACGACAACATGGCATACACAAGTCTCACAGTGTGCGACTTTAACGACAACATGGCATACACAAGTCTCACAGTGTGCGACTTTAACGACAACGATGGCATACATACACAGTGTGCAACTTTAACGACAACACCTGAGCATACAAGAGTCTCACAGTGGCTTTGCATACACAAGTCACAGTGTGCGACTTTAACGACAACCTGGCATACACAAGTCTCACAGTGTGCGACTTTAACGACAACATGGCATACACAAGTCTCACAGTGTGCGACTTTAACGACAACATGGCATACACAAGTCTCACAGTGTGCGACTTTAACGACAACATGGCATACACAAGTCCACAGTGTGCGACTTTAACGACAACCTGGCAGACACAAGTCTTACAGTGTGCGACTTTAACGACAACGTGGCAGGCAACATTATCGTTTAGAAACGTACATGGTAGAAGGCCAAGGCCAAGCGGAATTCTAATTACTCTGAGGAAAATGTCGCTAATTACTTCCAATTATATTACACAGAAAGTACACATACAGTGATTGAGATTACAGATAATGTAATCTCGGTATGCTTCTGTCGTCGTACTATGTCAACATCTGTATCTAGCAAGCCACTCAGATCTACAAGGTATCTCACCAGCATGTGTGCTATGCCTGTTGCCTGTGGGCTGCCTCCTTCTACATGCCCCATACTGACAGGGCAATGCAAGGCAGCCACGTTTACATAACTACAATGCAATAACGCTACTGTACATGCTATATGCATTGGCGCTTTCTCTATAATCATTTACTGACATTTACAAGCGACTGTGAGTAGAGTAACTTCAACTTTCCATCTGATCCAGGGTACCCGAGGTGCATGGATATCGACCGAGAGAAGGTTGGATTACGCCGCAGTCAGTAATAGTGGTTGATAACATGAGCATCGGTCTATGTCGGTAAAATGGCAGTAAATCAGCGCGGTAAACATTGCAGCCAGCAGATCCCCCTTTGTCTGTGTTCCATAAGAATGGGGCACCGAGGGCATGTCTGCCTGGATTCGCCATGGGAATTATGTATTTGAGGAAATTATTCCATGAATCTTCACGATATTTGTGTACCATCCATCTTGACAGTACTTGTGTCTCATGGAAGCAACATCGTCTCTGTTGTCTCTTAATGTCTCGAGCCTTCAGTAACCCATGCATGTCGTAAGAGGCGACTAACGGGATCGGGTGGTCAGACTTGCTGACTTGTTTGACACATGTCATCGGTTCCCAATTGCGCAGATCGATGCTGATGCTGTTGATCACTGGATTGTCTGGTCCAGACTAGATTATTTACAGACCGCCGCTATATAGCTGGAATATTGCTGAGTGCGGCGTAAAACTAAACTCACTCACTTGCTCACTTAATGTCTCGACAAACATTTCACAATAATTGTAATCGTTAATAATGATGAATTATTATACATGCGAAGCTGACAGCTGACACATACATGGTCACGTAGTTCTGTGTAAGAGAGACAAATAGTAACGAGCGGTACCTCCATCGTACGGTATCCACTGATGGGTGCGGCCTGCCACATGGCGGGTCTTGCTGAGGACGCGACACTGGTAGGCCCGGAAGTCTTCATCGCGGGGACACTTCTGTAACACATTCACACACAGGTGTGTCTGTATCTAGGCCATGCATGTGTATGATTGAAACAAAATTCTACATCGAGTGAACTATCATATGAAACTTACCTTCAGCTAAAATTCTAATGAGTTTCTTTCTCAGAAGATATTCCAGATATCAGATGTTTGCAATAACCCTAATGTAATGAGATCTATAGTCCGATTGGGTTCAAATGAGAACGATGAGTGATTAAATAGTTTGAAATTGGGATAAGTGCACAAAACATAAATAAGACACATGGTACTGAAATCTCCGTACCCAACAGGATCTGAAATCTGACGTTTTATGATCGATCGCGGGATACCATCATGTAACATTGTGCTATTTTCACGCTCATACCGAGGGGTGACAAACGGCTGGTGGAATAGTACCAGCACACATTCAGGTGCAACTCAGCACAGCCAGGTGAGATGACCCCAGCTCGTCAGGCGCTGTTCCATCATCCGTTTGTCACGGAGGTTTCAGGGCCATGTGTCTTATTCATGTTTTGTGCACTTATCCCAATTATCGAGTTATTTAATCATTTGTCGTTCTCATTTGAACCCAAACGGACTATACTTATTAGGCCATATATAAAAATAGTCTTGTTTCTCATTACCGCCCGACCCCACAATTCTACCCGATTTTAATTTTTTTACACTAGAGAAAATGCAACTTTGACTCTCAAAATGTGCATGAATTGTTCACACTTCTAAGTTTTGATTTTTATCTAACAAATTAAGGGTGTAAATTTCCACAGAAATCAAGGGGTTGGGGCATGAAGTAAAACCAAATGTAAAAATAAAATCCGCCCGCCCCATATTTCTTTTTAAAAAGTGATGATAAACAAGCATATTTTTATGTGGCCTTATGGACCTTGAGAAGAGGTAATAAACTGACGTACAAAACAAAGTACACACCTGGTAGTTTGGGAATATTATCCCATTAAGCAATGTATGTATGTTGAAAAGTGTTTTGCCTGTGACCTATAAGGCCCAATCATTGTCTACCTGCAGTCTATCCTTTACAGTGTTGTCCGTAGGTTATCATGAAAATCGGGATCTTGTTGAACATAATATAATACACTGTCGACTGGGATTGGTCACAGGTCAAAATGCCGATTTAATCAGCAGCGGAGCGAGGACGAGCCATTGGAATGTCGCAGATGGGGGCTTTGATAAGCCACATTACCAGAACAAGGCAGACCATCATCAGAGTAATGAGACGCGTGCCGTAACTGGAAGACCGAATGTGTCCACGCAAGATGACCATCAACTGAATATTCTCTATCTTCATAAACGGACGTTCACAGTGGCGTCATCATCATCAACATCGTTGGCTCGGCATATCAGGACAAAACAGTGATGAGATCGACCATTTCGGGACATGTCATACATCCGTCAACATCGACCGAATCGTCTACGACATCGAAATTGTATTTTAACCGCATGTACACAACGCTATTTATTTGTAAATAACTGAAAGGCACCAGGTGTTTATTTTCTTATGTACGTCAGATTAACAGCAATGTAACTGTACTGTATAATGAAACCAATTCTTTACGAGAACAACGTTGTTAATTTGATTCCTGTATGTACAGTCTGCAATGAAGTAATTTTGAACCGGAAATCTCGCGAAATCTCGCTAAGTGGCAACTGCTTGAGATCTATATATTCTCAGCAGCTGCTAATAGATATACATCAAATATAAGAAGCAAATATAATCATAATGACTTGTTATATATCAGCTTACACGAATTATGATGTCTGGCATCGAATTGTCTATACGTCTTACCCCAAGTTCACAGAGCCTGTAGTCGATGTTGTTGCCGACACAAGCGGTGAGGTGCGTCTCGGTGTAACGTTCACCCGTCCACTGAAGACAATCACGTGTCCTCATCTTCACCCCCCGGCCACATGTCCTGGAGCAGGGGCCATAATTCGTCCAGTGACCCCAGATGGCCGGGGGCAGGGGTCGGGGTTGGACGTTGGGGATCGGGGGTAGGTCACCGCCACTCAGCTTCTTACCTCGTGCCTGTAGCAAATGAGAGAAAACATGTAACTGAGTAAGTGAGTGAGTGAGTTGGGTTTAACGCCTTATTGAAGAATATATGAAGGTGTGACAGCTTCACAATGTCAGAAACTATTTAAGGTAATGGATGCAATATAATCAAGAACAAGGTAGAATGAAGTCTCCAAATCCCCTGTTCGAATACATGACAAACGGATCCTCGACAGACTAAGGCGCACAAGTCAGAAGCTAGCGGAGTTACGTCCCTTGATTAAGCCAGGTTCCGATTAGATTCGTGGATTAGAACTGTCTTTTTCTGTCCTTTGCTCGTGACTTGACCAAAGAGGCTGTATTCTACATAATTATCTAAATAATGACTTTCCTTCCACTTTAGGCAAATCATTGTGGTTGAAACAGTGTTCAAGGCAGGTTTACTCTCTCATGCGCAACATTTCTAAGCATGGTGTTAATGACACCGCCATCTGGCGGCAAAAGCAAATCATCACCTTTTGGTGGGAATACTGTCACAATATTGAGAAGTAGGTAAAACAACATTACAAAGCAGTGAAAATTACTTATATGTGTACACAGGCACTCACTCAGTGTATTACATAACGTTTATCAGCCCGAACATACGCCAAGCATGCCTCGTCATGTCACGACAACCGTCTTTTATTGTGGCACTGTTTAGAGAGCTTCTGTGCTGCGTCTTGTCTGGTATCCTGGGTATTTACACATATAACAATCCTGACATAATCTGCTCCATCAGCCAAAACATTCTCTAATTAATAAAAAACGGAGAAATGTCTTATTTTTTTCTGTTCCCTAAAATGTAATTTGTCTGCAAGTCTTTTGTAGCAAGCATGTGGAAAACATCATTTGGTGAAGTAAATAGTGTATGTGAATATACGTTGACAGGTTACTACAATACACTGTCATTAGAGCTGTGTCCCTTTACCGTGTCAGGAGTCTGTTCACAGATTCACACTGAGGGTGAATCGTAACAATGGTAACTATTACTATTACGTCATTTCAGGCGTTATAACTCGTGCATTCTGGATGCTAGAGCATAAGTAAATGTTTGGCAGTTCAGAGTTATGAGGCGATTGAAAGGAAACAACGTCCAATTCGAGGGATATAACTGACGAATATTACCAAGGCACTGTAGTTCACTTCGCTATATTGGGATTAGTTCAGAATGTCAACGATAATAGCCACATTATAAAATGTTAGAGTCAGCGTAGATATTAAAACATGTGCTACATAAATACGGAGGTAATCTATCATTAAATCTGACAATTTTAAAACGTTTGAGATCATGAGAAGGAACAGCTCCTTCAGTCTGGCAATGTCAGACACGTATGAGCCGCGACAGAAAAAAGCATGGTAGAAAAGGTCACGATGTAAAGGATTTTGCGAAACACATATCAAATCCCACAGAAACTAAACAAATACTCAGTTATATTGTATAACGTAGCCACGTAATAGCTATTGTGAAAGTCAGATTCAAACCTCGTGAAGAAATAAAGGTGGACATTTGACGGGAGGTGGCAGCCTTAATGATCCAGTGCTTACAGAGGAGAATATACTGACAGTGTCAGAGTTAATGCACGAGCATGACCAAAGTGCACAGGTCAACTAAGTGCCCAGATAAAAATTATATTACTAACAAAACTGTCCGGGTAATGGCAAAAAGTGCAAAGGTCAGGTCAAGGCCAAAATATAGAGTATCGCAAAAAGCGGAACACACACGTTGGGCCCAACCATGACCTACACACGAAACACATTTCTTGACATTTTGTATAAAAATGGCAGAGTATTGGTGATAAAGCGGTCTATGAATTCTGACATATAGAAGATTCGAGTTATACCTTGATTTAACAGGAGTGAGTGAGTATAGTTTTACGCCGCACTCAGCAATATTCCAGCTATATAGCGGCGGTCTGTAAATAATCTAGTCTGGACTAGACAATACAGTGATCAACACCATGAGCATCGACCTACGTAATTGGGAACCGATGACATGTGTCAACCAAGTCAGCGAACCGAAGTCGCCCTGCGAGCCTGACCACATGGATTGCTGAACCCCCGTTAGTCGCCTCTTACGACAGGCATGGGTTACTGATCATAAAGGTTTATTCTAACCTGGACCTTCACGAGTCTGATCCAGTGGTATCTGAGGAGTGGTGCCTGAGGAGCGACGGGTCGACCAAACACAACACGAACATCAGCACCAGCTAACATATCTCACTGACCATCTAGATTAAATATGTATAAGTAGCAATGCTATATTGTAGACTTCAATTGCCATGGGCTCAGACTTGGATGTGTGTAGTTAAGATGGCTTAATCGGCGTTTATTTGCTTCCCAGTTTCATATTACTGATATAAGACCTAACAAATCACAATAATATCAAACATATGCTAGGACACATACTTTCCCTCTATTAATGCATTCATTTTTATCAGAAATGAGATATTACTTCTCCATAAGCCCTGAAAATATTGTACAGAAGACGCACGACCAAACCCCCAGCATGCCCTCTTGCAGAACCTTATCTGCCTGCATGCTCCGGCAAGACATATTTCAGAGTATGTATAGAATCCTATATCACACAATACGTTTTTCTCCACAGGAGACACATTCACTATTCTAGTTACTGTTTTTAGCTTTAAGATAACTGCTATGAATGTTACGGTAATACCCAAGAAGAGTTCAAGCACTGGCCTGTGTGACGCCGTTGCCCTATAACAGATAACCCTATGAGTTCCTACACTATCATTTCCACGTCAACTGAGGATGGCGTTAGGCAGTGCCACACACGATACATGGTAGTTTGTCGTGAGAAGATGTAGTTTATTGGCCAGTCTTCAGGAGATACATGAAATTCGACTGACAATACCTTCTCATAAAGTATGTGAAAGACGTGGTGCAATACTAACACATCATCTGTTGTCAGAGCGTGCGATATATCGTGAGTGTCGGTTACCAAACTGACGCCATATTGCACGCTATAACGGATGTCACTCTTGTGGTATCAGATTTGATGTTACAGGAAGGAGATAAGGCATTGAGGCGAGTAAGTTCATGTCCGGTTTAAACCTGATTTTGAGCCAATGGAATAAAATGAATGTTTAAAATGTTTTCTTAGAACAGTTCTTTTGAACTGAATTATCATCCAAGTGTTATAACGATTTGATGGCATCCTCACACATGCATCTAAGTGAACACTGACTGACTGACTGACTGAGTTTGGTTTTACGCCGCTTTTAGCAATATTCCAGCAACATCACGGCGGGGGACACCAGAAATGGGCTTCACACATTGTAACCATGTGGGGATTCGAACCCGGGTCTTCGGCGTGACGAGCCAACGCTTTAACCATTAGGCTACCCCACCGCCCCAAGTGAACACTGATAGAAGAGGAACCCAACAGTTGACTCAGCTTTTAACATAGATTTCGTATTTCCTTTTGTCGGTGTTATTTACGACTTTACGCCCTGTTACTTTCTTCTTCAGGATCCTCCAAAGTACATCGATGGCGCTGGTCCTAATCCGCCAGTATTTGTTGCGTCCCTTCAAAAACGTATGATAGTGTGTTCGAACATCGCCCTGATTACGTCATTAGGTTTGTATGTACCATACCTGCGATCTTGGGTTTCGCCAATATGGTCAACATCTGGAACCTACACATCTTCATATAACTCAACACACTGGTCAAAATAGCTTTAAATCAACGCACCCAACTGCCATATATACTTACTTATATTGCATGGAACATGTGTAACTGCACAGTCATGGTGAGAGCTTTATCTGGACACACGTGGATTGAACTCTAATCTGAACACACGTGTACTGAACCCTAATCTGAACACACGTGGATTGAACCCTAATCTGAACACACGTGACCTAATCTGTTACTATGAACCCTAATCTGACACACGTGTACTGAACCCTAATCTGAACACACGTGTACTGAACCTAATCTGAACACACGTGTATTGAACCCTAATCTGGACACACGTGTTATTGAACCCTAATCTGGACACACGTGTACTGAACCCTAATCTGGACACACGTGTACTGAACCCTAATCTGGACACACGTGTACTGAACCCTAATCTGGACACACGTGTACTGAACCCTAATCTGGACACACGTGTACTGAACCCTAATCTGAACACACGTGTACTGAACCCTAATCTGAACACACGTGTACTGAACCCTAATCTGAACACACGTGTGAACCCTGACGTGTACTGAACCTAATCTGAACACACGTGTACTGAACCCTAATCTGAACGTGTACTGAACCCTAATCTGGACACACGTGTAGTGAACCCTAATCTGACACACGTGTACTGAACCCTAATCTGGACACACGTGTACTGAACCCTAATCTGAACACATGTGGATTGAACCCTAATCTGGACACACGAGTACTGTACACTATTCTAGAGACACGTGCACTGTTTATCCTGTTTAGCGTTTCTACGTAAAACCTTATACAGAAATACGGAGTGGAAATATGTTATCAAGAGTTACATAAATATTTCGAGTCAGTTCCGAGATTAAGATACCCCATAGACGACGCTCTAGTCATGGTAACAAAGAAGGCCGAAGGCTAAATGATAATGTTGATTATGTGGATGATATGTTCTCTCCTTAGAGAACCATTGGGGCTGCAGAAAGTGATAGCTGGATTATAATCTCAGTCGCTGACAGAAATCAAAGGCCTGTAGCAAAGTTTGCTGATGCGTGGGTGTACAAATATAACGTGCAAACAGTATCGACTTCAAAGTATAGTTCTTTATGGTGCTGTAAACAGTTTGGACAAACCAGAAACTGTTCTACTTATTCAGAAACAGAAAGCATGTTCCTGAATGTGAAATTTACGCACACTGGAATTGGTAACTGATGCCCTAAGCCAGAGCCATATACCGGTATGGTCTCTGTCTAAACTTAAGTTATATATACACAAATACCAGATTCTCAAAATGTTTGACAGTATTTCAAATTTCAGG